CCAAAATAAAGAAAAAAGAAACAACCTGGGCGTCACCACTCAGGATTTGCTTAAATTTTTCCACCCTCATTTGCCATACCATTTTTTGTCTTGGACTTCAGAAGTTTTCTGCTTCTTCAGCTGTTTTAAGCACGAAAATAAGTGTTTCATTGCCAAATTTCATTGTGTCACCGAACAACACTACAATATAGCGTATCTGCAGAGACGACATTCATGAAATTACAGTGTCTTGGACAATCATCATTGATTTCAGTGAGATGATGACAGAGAAGTTCTTGCAACACCTCTTGATACGTATATCATGGGTGCTTCGCTGACACTTCCTCAGCATGGCATGAGCACAGGTGTGAGGTCCTGTCCCGGAGGGCTCCATTAAAACACTGTCCCTCGCTGCTCAGAACTACAGGACAGTGTGTGTAACGCTGGCCATATGCTTACCACGGAGGCCAACAGCTGACTGAGTTAATTGACAGAAATCAACATATCTGGACACGCGCGTGTGTTTGTGTGAGATGTGAGCCGGCGGAAATGATTGGCGATCAGCAATACTAGAGTCGCTCCACGGGGAACGCTAAACAAAGTGAGGGGTAATTTAGTTAGTAGAGGGAGAGTTTATAGCCACAGGGCTCAGCTTTTAACAGACGAGAAAGACGGAGAGGAAGCTTGGAGCTTTCTTGTGGTCATTGAATATCTTTGTTTTTGTTTATTTATTCATTCATTTCCAAGCAGCCTCAAAAAAAAAAAAAAATCACCAAATACTCCATTAAATGATTTAAAGTAGTCCCATTTGAAGATGTGGTAAAATGTATTCTTATGGATTTGAAGTGTATAATTATTGTTTTACTGTGGAGTCTAAATAGTGCATGTGTTGGAGTAATTAGCATGCAGATCAGGTCTAAGTGGGGGGCTTTATAAGGAGAGGACATTCGTTGAGACGACGACACAGTGACATTGTCATTAGCTTGAAGTTAATTAGTAATTAACGGCGCTATTTCACTCAGGCGCATCTCTCGGTCCTCTGACAGGCTCTTTACTCCTCCATTGCGACGAAAACCAATAATGCGCGGTGGGCTGTTCCTCTGTCACTTCCCGCGTGAGTTAATTAAGAGCTTTGCCACGATCCTTAAGATATGTAAAAGCTGTGATATTATGGCATGTCACAACCAGCTGTGTTAAATTCAATAACATCCTGAAAACATACAGTGCCCTAAACCTCAGTTTTGATGTTGTTTAATTAAAAAGATTAGTAATGGAACAAATCAAGATTGTAGGCTATTTTATATGGTTTTAAGATTAGATTGACAATAGATTTTAAATCAATTACTTTTCAAGGTCTGTGTTAAATGTAACATCATTTATCACAACAAAGCTCGTTTATTCATACTTGGAGTATTATTAGTATTGGTAATGGTATCAGTTAGTAGAATGGACTGTTATGGCATGTGGATTGAAAGCTGACGTGAACACATGCAAAATAAAACCCACATAGCTACAGTACAGCCAGTACACTGGAGAATTGTTTCATTTTCAGTCATTTTTTTCTGAACCTCATGATCACGTCTCAAGCATTCTGTGGTGGAAATGATAAGGGAAATGACATTTTTGGAATAAAATGGCTGAATCCTCTGTTTCATAGTTAGCTGATTTCAAGCCAGTATTTTATGTAGGCTATGTGAAATACACACAATTAAATAATATTTTCAGACTTTTGCATAATTTGACAATTGTAGAATGGCAATGATGCACAATAAATATAGTATGCCTATGTATGCCACATAAGAAAAAATTATAATTTAGCCCTATCTCATAATTTCAACTTTTTATCTCTTAGTATGTCAATTTTGACTTTTTATCTCAGCCTAATTATGACTAGTATCTCATAATTTCGCTTTTTAATGTCATAATAATGCATGATTTTTTCCCCCTTATGATCTTCCATATATTTACCTTGATTTTGCTTTATTTTTTCATACATCCGTCTCAGATTTCATCTCAAGCTCTTCACTGAAACTGTTGTTTTCTTGGTAAACAAGCTTGTGATCAAATTTTCTTAGTCAATAATTTTTAGTCATTGTGGAAATGATGGCACAATTAAATAACATCATTTATTATTTATCAAATATAGGCTATACAATCAATTTAAGACAAATAGGCCTATTGAAATTTATTTATTTTATTCTGTTTTTAAAAAACTTAATTCCTAATTTTTACTGTAGATATTTATATTTAAAAACATCGCCCCAGGTTGGGACCAGGTAAAACAATAAAACTGCATCTAAAATGCCAGGAGTATTACCGTTGTCTACACACAGGCAATGCATTCGCACATCAGCACAGATCTAGATATTGCCACCTGTCACTCGAACGGTCTGGACATAAACCGGATCAGACTCTGAGAGCCTGGGGATGTTATTCTCCATAGTCCTCTCACTGTAAAACATTATTTTCATGAATTGTTATCACAACCTTTTAAATCTTTTGTCAAATCAACTAATGTGGTTCAGAAATACCAATCTCCATTGAATTAACTAAAATGTTTAATTTCAATGAACTCAAAAATAAGGCAACCAGGTAACTTACTTTTTAAAGTTAAATCAACAATAAGTTTTAGTCTTTCACACATTTTACAAATATAAAAATCAGTAAAGGCCAAGTGAACATAGATGTGACAGTTACTAAATATCCTTTCGGATACTAAACAGTCAGGCGATCTGAATTACTGAAACACACGAACACAGTATTTTGTACTGAAAACTATTAGATATTTTAAATATACTATTACCAACATATATCTGGTCTCTTGAACCTCCTTCAGTACATGAAGCACCTCTCATCTTCAGGTGTGACACAGTGTCGCCCAACTTTGCCCCAGGCCCCTGATCTCACCCCCCTTCCCACCGCCATCGCCATCTGTCTCTATGGTAACCTGAGAGAGTCCCGTGAGAGGGGTGACGGATGCCTGGCACACGCACACATTGCCAACTCACCAGCATGGCACGCAGCGACCTGCCATATGGTGCCACCCCATATATCTAGCGACAGAAGCAGAGGAAGACCTGCATGTCCATCCATGCTGATACAGCTCTGGAATTACGACAACAGTGTGAACAACTAGTTGTATGGCTCAGGCTCTATACGATTAATTAGCGCGCTAGCATTTCCAGTAACTAGACTTCTTGCAGGCATATATTTAGGCTTCTCAGAATGTTGAGCTCTACGAAAGTGTCTGTTAGATTATCGGAACTGAAGTAGCTATACTACTAAAGAGCCTGTGTGGAAGTTGGTTGGACGCAGTTGGCGAAGTTTGACTGGAATTTGAAGTGTAATGATGCTACCAACAGTCAGGAGGTGTTAGCCATGACACTCCAGTTAAACGCACACATATGCCCGCCCTCGCACTTTCAGTTGCACGCATAAAGGCCTCTTTTTCAGCATTTATGTTTGTGCCAGACAGTTAGCTGACTGTAAACCTGTATGCAAGGCAGGGCCGCTACACTACGCTTTTTTCTGGACTCTGCTGCCTCCTGGTGGTGTGGTTCCAAACACAACTTTAATACGTCTTGGATCACCGTTGAGAGTAAATTAACACACAAAACATATTTCCCTTGATAAAATATAGTTTTATATTTCAGCAAAATATGCTTACAAATACAGAATACTGCATTTACATGGGTTTACATTTCTTTTTTCATGTGATATTTGTCTCTAAAAGAATCTTTCATCCACAACTCAGGGCAGTATGACATTGCATTAATTCACAGCTCATCTATTGTATTTCCTAGTCTTGAGTGAGAAAAGTTTCATAAGGAATGACGCAAGCGTAATAAATATGCAAAGTTTCTTCATCGCTACTCAAATGCAAGTAATTGTCAGCTGTGATGGTGAAACAAGCCCCACAATTATTATCCAGTTATGCAGAACAGTCTATTGTAGAACAATAACACATTAAATATCAAATTAAATGGAACATAATATATATATATATGCGATATGGCATTTCGATAAAGCTGCATCAGCCAGAACAAGAAAACATGACAGGAAAGAAACCAGAGAAAACATACAATATATATATATATATATATATATGGTAGACATAGACAATAATCATATAAGCATTTTAAATCTATTCTCTAAATCAAATATAAATCAATAAATATAAATGTATTCTGAAATATTGTCTACTGTATATATAATACACAGTGGTATCTAATCTATGTATAAAATAAGATTTTAATAACAAATAATCTTTGTGAACATATTTCTTGTGATTTTATGTACTGGAATTTTTTTTTATTTCTTTTGAGTCCCTTGCAGAGAAGAGAGTTATATAATAATTCAAGTTTTTTCCCCGTTTCTTTGCAAATCTGCCATGATCTTCCCTAGCAGTAGGCCTGCAATAACAGCAGAAATGTATCGCATGTTTTAATGCACATTGAAATAAGACCCATTAAAGCACAGCTAAGCCTTCCTGGGAACTCGTTTTCCTTCAATTCTTTATGTAACTAACAGTAACATTTACATTACTTCTCAAAGCAGTAACAACTGGGGAATGGGAGATCTACAGCACAAGTGATGAGATAGTATACTTTTGTGACCCTTTCAGCATAATTGAACTTAAAAATATGCACTTATAGGCTACATATTCGAAATCGATTTTTGGTCAAATCATTCCCATAACATTCAGGATTGTCTCTTGTCTCTACGATACATAATAAAGCTTATCACCATGATACATTCATTTCATTGTGCAACTTCTTGGTCCAAACAAATGACCCACTGAGAAAAGGTCCCTAATAATTAAATCAGCCAAAGACAAAAGGAAACTAGCAGTTTGTCTCAAAGGCTGAAACAGAAACTTCCTTTAAAGATCAGGAACTATTCTCAACAGCAGACAGCGGAGACAAAGAAAATGCTTTAAGGAATCAGACAGCTAAAAGACAAGAGCACATGTTTAACAAGACAGTAACTTTCTTTTCCAAATGGGACAAACTCCAATTCTGCAGTAAAAAAAAACAAAAAAAAAACACTAATCTCTATCAACAGCTCATACCCTGTGGAAGAAACACGTCTGAGATGAGGTATTTTAAAAGAACATGGTATTAATAATTGAATAAACACTGTCAATTCCCAGACTGTCAAACTCTAGCTTTTGGTCTTCATCTGATTAAATGGACGGTGTACTGCAGGTTTCTGAACTGCTTTGGTCACACTAGCACAAGTGCTAAAGGATAAAATAGAAATGAATGAACCTTAACAAAATACTTAACACTCTTCATCCTGCGGCTCCTAGTAATCTATTACAGATCTATTAAGTAACTCCTAAAGCTTTTCCAATATTCTCTTCAGCCAAAGAGAGCAACATAGTTTCCATAGTGACGAAACCAGTGACTGTTGAGGATGTCCCCCTTCTTCTCAGAGCCAGTCATTTCTCTATGTCCTTCCCACCCCTCATACACAATACTCAGCTGATCCATAAGCTCCATATCCTGATGGTGTTGCTCTGCTCCAGGCCCCTGTGCTCTCAGATGTGGATGTTGTGGTGACGGCCCTTCGCTAGATCTATGTCCACTCTGCGAGCTTCTGCGAAGCTTAAGAACGTGGCTAAACCCAGCAGATTCACTACTGTGATGAGACCGAAAACTGACGCCCAGGAACCACTGGCCTCGATCAGATACCCTGAGAGATACACCATGATGACCCCTAACAAGGACACACAACAGCATTAACCCATACAGCATACTAACAATCTACCTGTAAAAAAAAATGTGTCCCTGTTATATCATTTGATTAACATAACCTTTTTAAATGTAAAAAGTCATGTCCTTACCTGTAAAAGCTCCACATGTATTCATCACCCCTATAAGAAATTAAAAAAACATATTACAGATTCTGAAAAGACAAAGGAAATAATGAGACTGACTTATAATATTCATTGTACTTTGTTTAAATAGCAGATAATCCTATTGCTCATTGTAAAATTACAAAAAATCTGTGCCATCTGTGCAAAACAATGACACCGTAAAACAATATCGCTAGAATCAGGGTTGGTTATGGTTAACTAAAACTATTAGAAAACATTTTCTTACTTGAGAAAAAATTAAATAAAAAAAAATTAAACTTATTTATGAAACGTTAAACATAGCATCCTTCAAATAATTTCCACTGCGTTCTTTTCGAATTAGAAATTAATCATGTTGTTGAAGAATAAGGAATTGAATCAAAATTTTAGCTTTTATGGTGAAGGTAGACATTCTTATGGTGATTGCAAGAATGATAAATGCATTTTGATGGCACAGCAATGTTGAGAATAAATTCTTTTGACTCCTCATTTCCTTTTTGCCACATTTCATTACGTCTTTCCAGGTTAATTTAATTAAAGGTTCTCTAAGCGATCCTGGGTGACGTCACTTCTTGTTGACGTTCGAACTATTGTCAAACAAAACGGAGGCTAGCTAGACCCTCCCTCCTCCTCATCCGCACACTAACCCCCCAAACCACACCCCCAAACCCTTCTTGTCGGTGATTGGCTAGAACAGTTTGTTATGTTTTGGGGAGCGGGTCGCTGCAGTTTGTTTTTGTTGCTGTGTGTGGAGCCAGTGCTGTCTACAGAGATCGCGTTTCTTTACAGTGTGTTCAGGGGACAGGCAGCCAGCGGATAGTGAGGAGATGTTTGCTGTATGTGACAAAAAATGTTTTGGCCTAAAAAACGCGTGACATCGCTTAGAGCACCTTTAATTACAACATTTCTGGTGCTGTTTTTATATTTTTTATAATACCTATAATCAAGCAATAATGTAGGCTATTTGTTATTCTCAAATCAGGAATTAAAAACAAATGAGTTCGTTCAGAGCAAAAACTCAAGACAGTTACCGGTTTGAACGAAATAAAATACTGCTTTATTTATTTCGAAACAGAAGTCATTTAAAATGTTATTTGTACAGTATATTTTAATTTTCTATTGATCAGACTACAGTAAAATGTACACCGCTCATATTTTTCTATTTACTGGGACTGTCAACATTGGAAACCCAGAAAGCGTGACTTCAGTTGAGAAAAGCACTGCAGAGATGTCAAGACACTGTCACTGACACCTCATCATATTTTCTCAATTAGATATAATTAAAGTGTAGCCTAAATATGATTTTTTTTTCAAATGAGACTATATAAATGAATAAATATTCAGAAACAGGTGCAGTTACAGCCTACATAAGCTACCATTTTCTTTTTTTCTGTTTAACTTCTATTAGACTGCAGATCGAAATAAAAGAATACTTAATATTATTTAAAAAATTAGAGAAATCGCTGCTTATTCTGAATTTTTACAGAATGCATTTTGTCTTTTTTCGTCTGCAGAACAAAATGAATTTTAATTGCAATGTTAAAAAATGTTTTGCAATGTTAACATGAAATAATATAAAAGAAATAAAAAAAATCAAGAAAAAATTGTGACAAAATTACAAAAATAAGGATGAATGCTGTTTGACAGGGAATGCATCTACATGCACAGCACGCCGTCAGTAACTAAAACATTATTACAAACTATATAGACAACAAAAATTATAAAAAAATTTACTAAAACTAACTAAAATTGAAATGAAAATGAATAATATAAAAATAAAAACTAATTCAAAATATTAATAAAAACTATAAGTATCTTAATGATACCAAAACAATATGTGCAATAATCACTTGTAATGCTTTTTTTTTTCAGCTGATGAACAATAACAAGATTGACAGCCAATCAAAATCCTTCCTACTTTAAAGCGTACACTGAAGAACAGAACACAGAGCATAACCGAAGCGTGCGCTTAGAACAAACAAAGGTATTGTCCATCAGTGTATATGCCATACATATAGCATTATGGTTATTATTAAAGTTATCATTCTTGGTGTGAATGAGCCTTAAGTGTGCAATCATAGTTTTGTTTAGAGCAGGGAGAATGATACTTACCAAACAGAGCGCCAGCACAGGATGGAGCGAGATCTTGAACATTCACTGAAACCCCACTACAAAGACAGAGAGAATTATATGTTTACATTCGCATTCATGCATTTGGCAGATTCTTTTACATATATTTGATCAGTGCTTGCATTACCCGGGAATCAAACCCATGACCTTGCGGTTGCTAGCGGTTGTCAAGCTCTACTGTTTGTTTGTTTGTTTGTTTCAATGCATGTGTAAGCAGTGTGTGGCATTACCTGTGGCTGAATGTGGTGAGGCCCATCGTAGCAGACACGAAAGCCACAGCTGTGGGGAACGTATTGGTCCCGCACAGTAACAGAGTAAACACACTGGACACGCCCATAGAGAAGAACTGAAAAACACACAGATCAACACATTGTTATATACACTACCGTTCAAAAGTTTGGGGTCAGTAAGATTTTTGTTTAAACCTTTATACAGCAAGGACATATTAAATTGATCAGAAGTGACAATAAAACATTTATAATGTTACAAAAGATTTATATTTCAAATAAACCCTGTTCTTCTGATAAAAAATATTTTCATAATTGTCTATTGATAATAATAAGAAAGGTTTCTTGAGCAGCAAATCAGCATATTGTTCCTGAAGGAACATGTGACACTGAGAACTGTGGTAATGATTCCTTGCCATCACTAAATATATTACTATATTAAAATAGACAATGTTTATTTTATATTGTAATAATATTTTGCTGTTAATGCAGCCTCATGAGAGAGTGTGTATTTCAATTGTACCTGCATGAGTTTCCTCACTGACGCAGTATCAAAACCTTTAAGAGTCAGAGAAAGGGGCGAGAGTATGAGTGTGCCAGCTGAGGAACATTTAACAGATTTTATAAGACAATTACAGTCGTGTAGACTTGACATTTACAACACCGTAAAACTCACACAGACGTGTAACATTGGCGGGAAAGAGCAAAGTCACGACACAACAATGATTACAGAGCCGTTGACACTACAGAAGGGAGCGGGGACTATTTAATTGCCTTTCTATTGTCAATCAATAAGACATTTATATGAGGAACAAATGTGAGCTTATATCTTTAAATGCGTTTGTGTAGTACGTGTGGTTTCGTACCCTGACTGATTAGATGGTCTGAAAGGCATCCACTAAACAGGGAAGAGGGGATGGCCACAAACCATGGGATCACGTTAAACACCCAACCCTGAAGAAACACACACATGCAGACATATAATCAAACACACACACAGAGAGACACACACAGGAACACGCAATGAACAATAGGTCCAGCATGTGGATATACAGTTCTGCATACTCTGATGTGCTGTTGTTATGTGGAGCCCCCTGCTGGAGTTCAAACAGAACAGCATCCTACTAACATCATAAACAATCTCCACTAATTCATGTCTCGAATAGAAGGAGAGAAATCTCAGTATGCAAACTGATATTATTTTGCTTCGACACAGATCATGTTCTCACACGCTGTCTGAAAGAGCGCAGCTCAGTTTACCTTGGCATCAGGGAAGGTGTCCTTGAAATATGTTGGCAGCCATGACAGCAGTGTGAAGAAGGTGCTGGCGGTGCACAAGTGTGTAATAATGACGGCACTGAAAAACAGACAGAATGAATGACACCAATGCAGCTGGCAGACAAAAGACACCGAAGGTGCACTCAGCCATTTTTCTTCCTCATTAAAAAAAGGGTTTGAAAGATAAAGAAGTTTCGAGAAATATGTTTAGAACTATGTACAAGATTCTCCAGTCATGCCACCAAGTTGCGATCACATGAACAGCCGAATACTAACATTTACCTTGGTAAACCCTTATATCTGGAGACTTTCACTCATGGAATAAATGAATCATGGCTAACCGCAAATAGTGCATTTCCACAATGGCATTAGTGATCATTATTTGCGTGATACTGCATCCACATCACTATGTTTAAGACAACACAATATTAACAAAGGTTACAGAGAATTAAACATTTATTGAGAGCACCTTTAATCTTATATTAAAAAAATAATTCATATAAATAATACAAAAAGAATCATTTTAATAAAAAAATGAATGTGGGTCATTTAAAAATGCAAGAAAACTTAAGCGAGTCTTAATCGAGTGCTGCAGGGAGGACATATTTTGGTAACACTTTACTTGAAGGGGTGTGCATAAGACTAACATGACACCTTCATAATCATGACATGACACATGTTATGAATATGAAGGAAGTTGTATGCATGTTTATGACAACTGTCATTAAGTGTCATTCGCTCAGTTATGACATTTTTAATGCAAATATGACATTGTTTGAAATGTCTTTGTTATGACACCTTGACATAAGCAAATACATCATAACCTGTCAGTGTCTTTGTCATGACAACTTGACATTACTAAGACAACACAACCTGTCATACACATGACATAGCAGATTAATTATAAAACTTAAGAAACCACTTAGCTTTATTGGTTAAAATTACATTAAACTGTCAGGTCGTTGGCTTTGACATTGGCTGTCATGAAGCCATTATAACTTTTTAATGACAAATTCAATTTGTACCACTGTAGTTGAGGTCACGAAAAATATTCATGACACAGTTATAATGGCCTCATGACAGCCAGTGTCAAAACCAACCACATGACAGTTTAATTTAATTTAATGTCAAGATGTCATGACAAAGACACTGACAGGTTATGATGTTATGGTTTATGTCAAGATGTCATAACAAAGACATCTTAAACAATGTCCTATTTGCATTCAAAATGTCATTATTGTGCAAAAGACACTTAATGTCAGTTGTCATAAAACCCTACTTCATATTCATGACATATGTCATGTCATGGTTATGAAGGTGTCATGTCAGTCTTATGCACACCCCTTCAAGTAAAGTGTTACCCATATTTTTATAGGCCAAAACCCGGAAATGAGCATGTTAGCACTTCCGGTTCCATTGTCCTGGAGTCAATGGGTTTTTTGAGTGGTTTTTGGTTAAATGCCTGAAAAAAGGTCTGTGGTTAACACAAGATCCAGACATTTTTACATTTTAGTCAAGCTTTTACTTGTCTTTTAAAAAAATCGATTTCTAACAAGTGGTTAAATGGGACTACATGAGTTATAGCTGAACAGGTAAAATCCTCTACTCACTAGTCCACTTTCACAGCCTCATTGTGTTTATAAATGTGCTCTTGCAAGCTATTTTAACAAACTTTCAAAGAATTTTTTTTTTTTTTTTACTGAAAAAGTTGTCGGAAGATTAGTGATGGTTACGTTTGGCTTTAGCTTGATGGTGAAGTTAACTTTAGCTTTTTTTCCTGCCGATTGTTTTTAGGCTTCAAAACATGTAAGAATCATAAACTTTTGTAGGTCACGGAGCTTATTTTCTGCAATAATCCAAAAGCCAATGAAAAAAATCCTCTTCGTTTTTTTTTGTCGAGGGAACCGTGGTGATGTAAACCTCCGGTCTGGCCTACACGTCATCACTGCAGTCCTCTATTTCTACAACAATAACATCAGTAACAACAATTACAACTAGAGCACTCACTCTCAGTCAACATGGTAAAGTACAGTAAAAATTACGATCTACTTTTCCTTATACATTAATATAATTTTTAAAATATCACAAAAAAAATCCACGTCATGTGTGCAGTGAGAAACACTCAGCCATGTTTGGCTGACGGGACAGTGTACTGTGTTACTGAGTTTCTGAGTGCTCTATATATAGACAGACATGGAGTGGATGTGAATCAGGCCTTTATGGGAGCTCAGTAAAGACCCTTTGTTCAGCACCCACACTCTCTCTCTCTCTCTCACACACACACACACACACACACACACACACACACACACAGTATTCAGGTGCTAATCTCACCACACAGCTGGCTGTCTGAAGAGACGCAGCCAGTTTCTCTTAGACAGTTTGGACTGGCTTCCAGCGCTGCCCAGAGACTCCAGTGTGATGATAGGACCTGAGAAACACAAGCACAATCAGCCTTTAAACAAACAGTTGTTAACACTTGTTATGGAAAAGAATAACAGCACGGCTGTGTCTGGTCTGAATGGAGTGTATAACTAGAGACACTTAAAGTACTTGTTAATTAACAAAGATTTGTTTTTTAATTATTTACCCATGTATCAGCCAAACTACCAAAAATGGCTTACACAGCATAATAGAAAACACATCAACTACCACATTTCCTTGCTACACAATTGATTCTGATTGGCCAATAATGGCAGTCGAATATTTAACATATTTTAGTACTGCAATGGCAAATATGGAATTGTTACAAAGTACACAAACATCAAAGGTTTGGGGTCAGAAAGCTTTTTTTTATGTGGAAATAAATGACATTTTTATTTAGAAAGGAAACAGTAAATTGATCAAGAGTGACAGTTAAGACATTTAATAATGTTACAAAAGATTTCTATTTCAAATAAATGCTGTTCTTTTGAACTTTCTATTCATCAAAGAACTCTGAAAACTACATTTTTATGTATATATTTGTTTTCTTTCTCATGATTCTAATATATAGTTTACACAGTAATGTTTCTAGAGCAGCAATATTAGAATGATTTCTAAAGGATCACGTGACACTGAAGAATGGAGTAATGATGCTAAAAAATCCTTTTTGACATCAAAGGAATAAATTACATTTAAAAATATAATCATTTGAAATTCCAATAACATTTCACAGTATTACTGTACTTTTGTTGAGCACCATACACTTCTTTCAAAAACATTAAAATCATACCGACCCCAATACAAAATAAATTTGTGAGGTACCTAGAGATTCCCCGACTTGTGTATGTTTGTGCTTGCGTATCCTGTACATACCCTCTCCTTTGAGCAGATACTTCCACATGCAGTACGCCCACAGCACAGACAGAAGCCCAGAGGCGTAGAACACGCTCTCCCAGCCGTACAAGTCCAGCATGAGAGAGCCGAGACCTCCAATCACCAGCGTCCTACACACACACACACAGTTACACAAATTCAATCAGAAAAGACATCGGCTACATTTCCACAGAGACGGCGATCAGACACTAACCCCAGGTATGAGCCACTTCCTACTGTGCTCATGAGGAAACCCCTCTCACTCTCCACCACCTTCTGAGAGCACAGACTGGCCAGAGACGGGTAGTGAACACCTGAGCGCCAAGAAAACAAACACACTCATTTTTGGATAGCCATAAGTGTTTCTGACTAACAACAAACCAACAAATATACCACCTTATGCCCATCCTATACTAAAAACAAACACACTGTGGTACTAATAAATAATTATTTATGTGGTACTATCATTTAATTATTGACTGATAAATGTTACAATGGGCATCCTCATACTTTAAAAATATTAACTTTGTATTTTATCCTGTATTGTAGATTCTGTGTTGTAATGTGCAAGTAGTATTGTATCGTAATATTATGTTTTGTACCCATCTCATAATTCTGAATAATAATGTAAAGCTGGTTTGCTGCATTCACGCCATGTCGTAATTACGAGATGACATCGTGTTTTGTAACAGAAGCCTGGACAAGATGATGCTATAAATACATTTTAGCAAACTTTAACATTTTTGTAACAAAAAGCCAAACTGCAGCTCCCTCTATGCTGACAAAGGAATCAAAGTGGCATATTTTATAGTAGTCCAGTGACTGTTGTACAGACCCCTTTCACTAGTTTCAAGAGAATACAACAGAAGTACAATGACATACAGTGTAAATAAATCGCAAGGCAGAGCATGATAGTGGTCGGATTCCTCGCTTTGCCAACCACAGCACAATTATGCTCTACTCCACAGCAATGTCCTCTTCTCATTAAAAGGGTCAAAATTTGCAGGAGGGAACATTTAGCAGTTTGCAATGATTTACTAAGCAAGCAAAGTTTCCCCTAATAACAGCACAGCTCTGCTGCGTTTGCAGCGAACTACAGCCCCACTTAGAAAAACACTGAAAGCAGCTGGATATTGTTTTGCAACTTTCTCCAAGCTTAAACTATTATTGTACTTCAATATCTTTAGATCCTCGAAAGTACACAATCCGCACAGCATGAAAGCACATAAGCACAGTTACGGGAAGTTCGGTACGCTCTGGGACGGTCTCTCACCCTGCAGCAGGCCCATGAGGAAGCGGGAGACCGTCATGGAGACGATGGGCTGGGAGCAGAAATGGGCTAAGATCGGAGTGAAGGCTGTCATTGCTCCCCATGCTGCCGCTGACAACAGCATCACTTTCTCTCCTCCCACCCTAAACACCAAACAAATCAACAAAACACATACACACGCATTTATGGACATGACATCAAATCAGACATTCCATTCCACTCCACATTTTAAAAACGTTGTAGTGCTGTTTCAGTCCTTATATCTGCAGCATGGGACCAAAGCAGACCAGCGATTCATGGCAAGCTTCATTGGCATCACATACTTCATTGTGTTCAGTCCTATTTCGGAGACGGTTGTGGCTCTCCGGTGGCCAATAGACTTGTAAAATGACTGCATTTTAGCTCACAGTTTAAAAGTGTATCATATTATTAAGTTCTTTAATATTATTTGAATGTAAGGGAATGGAAATTACTGCTGGACTAAACCGGTGCGATTAAGCAGACAGCATGGAAAGGAGTCCTCGGAACTGTTTGCGTATTAGCCACAACCTGTTTAACAAATATTTAAAGCAATTTCAACAGACGGCAAAGGATGACATTATAAAATAGAGCCACACCCTTAACCCAGAGACTGCCATCACATTCACGTCATTTCTAACAATGAATTCACTGTGCAGTGTGCACTTGCCCTTTAAATTCTGCATTACTTTGAATAACGAGATAGCGATTCATTCATTGCTGAAGCTAATTTATGTGACCTACTGACTGTTGCCCAATCAAAGTTACAAATATTTACATCTATTAAATATTAACTTATAAATGTAAGGGCCACTTTAAATGGTAGAACTCCAATATTACTTAATATTACTAACTAAAATAAATCTTTATGTAAAGTACACAAATAAAGACATTTATTTTCAGGTTTCAGCAACAGAAACAATGGAGTCAGAGGACCTGTCACTGACGTAGCCTCCAAGGACCTGAGTGAAGCAGTAACCCCAGAAGAAGCTGCCCAACACCATGCCCGTCTCTCTCTTAGACCAGCTGAAGCGCTCTGCCATGCTCACTGCACAGATAGGCATGGCCACACGGGCACAGTACAGCAAACATGTGCCCAGCAACAGCACCACCGTCCATATCCTCGCTACTGGCCTAGATAGAGAGAGAGATACAACCGTATCTTTAAAGTTTACATCAAACAAGATTCATATGAGAAGTTGTTACAATCCAAAGCACACAAACTGGAAAGTGCCCATCTAGGTTGATTTGCTTCAGATGCACTAACGCTGTAAAACGTAGTTCATCAACCTTTTTAAATACCAAGTTTAACAAAGTTTATTTTAATTCTCTGATTTAGTACAGAACTGTGACTAAGACGGAGTACTTAAGCTAATTAATAATTATTATTATTATTAATAATAATGTGTGTATGTGTTTGTGTGTATGTATGCATAATATATGTTTATATATGTGTGTGTGTGTGTGTGTGTTTATATATATATATATATATATATATAAACACACACACACATATATATATATTATGTAAAGAAAAACTTTTATGTTAGATGTGATTAATCGATTTGACAGCACTAGTACTAGTAAAGGATTTACTTCAACATTTACTAATACAGATTTAAAATGAAAAATTGCATCGGATAATATTCTTTAATTGACCTGAGCTAACATTAACTAAAAATGAAAAGCTAGATTTGTATTAACTGTAAATGCAATTTATTACTAGGCTAATGCTTGTTTATGAGGCATTTTCCCATTCTGAATGAAACTTTTGAAATGTTTGAAAAACTCACATTAAAATAATACTTTTAACTACTCATAAATTGTTGCTGAGATCAATTTAAATTTGAAATGGTAATTTGTGTGTCTTAGAATAATTGTTTGCATCAGAAGCATTATTTTTAGAGGAAAGTTTGGTGGTGAGGCGGTGGTGGTCTCACCTTGTCCAGGTCTGACTTGACTCTGGCCACTTCTTCTGTGATCCAGCTCCGATATTTTCTGAAGGATTCTCCTTAATACTGGCCAAATCTGGACAAGAGTTCTTTCCATGTTTTTGTAAAATTGCCATTCAACGACAAATATATTCGTTTGTGACTATCTGCTCTGATGTCCTCTCGGGTCAGTCTTTGCAAGCGTGATAGGCAAAAGAGCAAAGCGATGAAAACAATATGTTTCTATCCCAGTTTCTTCGCGGAAGCATCTCCTTATAACATCCCTGCCGCAACCACTGCGCTCCAGCGACCAGCAGAAACCAGCGGACTCTCGGCTTTCACTGCTGCTATAACGCAGCGGGACGAATTTCAGCTTTTTCCTGATTCCTGAAGTGTTGATGATGATCCACGTGTCAGTTTCTTTTTTCAGCCACGCAGTTTCTCCAACCACTGGGCTGGCGCCTCAAACCAGGAAGTAACGTGACTCAGCCCCTTCCACATTCAGTCATGATTTCGCAACTGTGTGGAACACAACATAACTTACCTAAATGTGAAATTGAAAACCTTATGAAGACAGACTTTTTTTCATGCAAAATGCAAGCGGACAGGTTTAGTAGACGTAACACGACGGATTGGTACCAAAGTCATTACAGATACACCAGGTCCGACTCATGTGCGCGAATCGATTCTTTTAAACATTTTGTTTAACGACTCACAAAAAAATGAATCGCCTATTCTTTTACGCCATTCCTGTATGTATTATGTTCAAATAAGGTTTAATGCGGGTTTTAGGGTGCATTTAAGCATTCCAGTTTGGTTGGTTGCAGTCATAGTTCAGCTCATAAAACGTTTTTTAACATAATTAGCTTTTACATTAAACAACACTCGTTCACCTGACCTAACTGAAAAAAAGTTTTTCTTTTAGATTTCTGTTTATTAAACTAACTCCGTTCCATATACATGTTGATAAAACGTTATTAATCAAGTCATAAATATATGCTTTATTTTTGTGACATTTTTTACGATTGATATATTAAAGTAACTTACTTTTCAGCCTATCAGTAAAAACTTTGGTTAAATCCAGATCGAGATGATTGTTCAGTCTATGGTTCAGTCCAGTCAATTACAGCTGAGGACCGAATCAGTCCGGTTAAGTTAACGACTCCTTTGGAGTCACTTTGTGAACCAGTTCATCTGATTCATTAAAAAAATCCGACTCAAAATAACAATTTTTCATTAATCGGATATCGCTATGTTATATACAAAGAATCGTCGGCCCTAGGGTAATCATCTTGTCCATTACCTGGACAAGATTACATTGCTAAAGAAATAAACTTTTAAAAGTCAGAATCCAAGTTGTCATAGTATAGGCCTATTCTTGTTCTTCTGACTCAATTGAAGTGTAATTTCTGAGGTTGCGTCTTTACCAGCCAACAGCAGGCAATTATCATAATCAGTCATGAGACAGCCAATGTGGGTGTCTTTCATTCACATAATAATTTGTTATAAAAACACCCTTCTGCAACCTTTAATTAGGCATCACAGCACAAGTATTTGGCCATAACATTTAACAACAGCAGCAATGTTGATATTCAAATAGAGTTTGGGGATTAAAAAATAATATTTAATACCTATGTAAAGCATCTGATTTCAGAAGCTTACAAATTGATCTCTGCAATATCTATAAATCACAATTGAATGTCAATGTAAGCAGGAATACTATGACAATGTACAGTAGAAAACAATGTCACATGACTTTATAACATTATAATGCAATAACATTAGTACTCAAAAGGGCAGATTTTCTTTGACAGGGCCCTTTTACACGCATACAAAATTTATACCCGTGCACTGCAAATAAAAGTTGTGAAAGCACACAGAACTCGTTCATCGTATTGGTACAATCAATTCACTGTCCTTGATGACACCACTATTGTGCCTTAGGTACCTCACATCAGAGGACACAGTCAAACAGAAGGGAAATCTAAATAGTGTGGTTCAGTCCTCAACTGTATTTGTAGACTTTCTGAGCATTCACTGACAAAATAGAAAGATAATAATCCTCTGCAAAAACAAAATGGCTAAAATGCTATCAATTCAGCTCAGCAAGTCAAACATTGTGGCAACAAAAATCACAGAAATCCATCTGCGATAAAAAGTGTTTCCATTTTGGCTAGAAGTCCTCCTTAAATCTTAATCTCATTTCCACAGCCCACTTAATGCAAAGTCTCTGATAAGCGACGAGTAAACAAAACAAAAGGTTGATAAAAGGATGTTTGAGTGTCAGTCACTGAGTATAAATAGTTAAAGAGAGGGAAAGCGTCCGTTTCTGTTCCCCGCAGAACGCAAGCATTGAGATGCCGGTTCGTTTTCACTTGGGGTCCTCGATGGTGCCTTTGCTAAGATCTGTCATTTTGGGGTACTTGACTTTCTTCTGGTCCAACTCGTTCTGAGCCCACAGCAGCAGTTTGAGGAGTTTGGCAAGTTTCGGTGTCGACTCCCTGTTTTCGTAGTCCAGCACTGCCTGGTTTACCTCGCTCCACACCTGTTATAGGACACCACATGCTGTCAATCACTGGCAGATGAAAAGGGGCTATATGTAAGAATTTTCATGCATTAATCGCTTTATTGCAATTGTTTGAACAGCTTGAAAAACGAGACCTTCCTGGACTTCCTATGAAAGATTGTCTATGAACGCCTATAGACTGACTTTTATGTGAAGGACTCTGGAAGGACTCTCAAAATCAAATGGATGTGTTATTTACGCGAGCTCCCGACTTCCTCTCTTCCGTTCTATGACACATGAAATTAATGCATTTAGGATAATGCAGAAAGGGCCATTCTGTACTGTAATGTTAATGTGTCATGCAAAGAAAAGGGAATAAGTCAAACTATAGTCTCACATAGTCAGATCTATAATCTCAAATATACTTTATAATCAAACTACCATAATAACAGTGTAATTGTAATGACCTCATCTGTCAACATGATGCGGGTGAATTGCAGACCTGGTGCAAACATATCCATAGCATTATGATCAGATGCTTTCTTAATTGCCGTTTTCTCACCACTGTCATTTTTGTTCGGTGTTTGTTATTGAGGGGAAAGCACGCAGCACATATTTACATATACATCTAAACAGTGAATGAAAAAGAACTTCGCTGTGAGTATATCGGGCATTGAATCACATTCAGTCTCTAGTATGTTATGTGTGCACGAGCAATAAGTTGCTGGCTGCAGTTCACATACCGGCCACCGATGTCGCTAATAACAAGGTGTTCTGAATTCTACATATAGCCCCTTTAAATAAATGATGCCTTTCATTACAGTCTACAAATATCATGATGTCAAGTGACATCTGCAAAAAAGGAAAGTCATTTCAGAGTTATTAAAAACAAATTTTAAAATAATTTACAGTAAAACTGGGAATGTACATTAAGTGCATAGGATAAATTTAATATGGACACTGGCCAAAGTACACCACCTTTCAAAAGTGTAGGGGCAGTAAGATTAACATTTTTTTTTTAATATAAATTATTACCAGTAAGAAATTTTATCTAACAGGAATATAATTAATCAAATAATACAGCAAAGACTTTTACATTGTTAAAAAATATTTATATTTCAAATAAATGCTTTTCTTTTGAACTTGTTATTCATCAAAGAATCCTGCAAAAATGCATCACGGTTTCCACAAAAATATTAAGCCAGTGCAGGAATAAATTATATTGAAATTATATTGAAATAGAAAATAGTTCACTTAAATTGTAATAATATGTTACAATATTATTGGTTTAATACATTGATCAAACAAATACAGCCTTGTTGAGCATAAGACTTTCAAAAGATTTTTCAAAGAGATTTTTTTTTGTAATGCTTTTAAATGGTAGTATAGCTGATGAATGCACTTTTTAACTAGCCACTCAGATTTCTTATCAGACATACACAGCAAGTTTGAGCTTCAGTAAGAACCAATGAGGTTTGTTCTCGCGTGTCAAGCAGGTTCGGTAGAGCTTCTGTTTATGTTTGCAGATCAAAGTTTATATGTGAATAAAAGCCTAAATTAATGAACTTTTTGAAGCGTAAAAATTTGCTGCGTTCCTGTCTATGCAGGAATAGTAAGCTTTTTTGAGTGAACTATCTCTTTAATAATATATTAAAATAACAACATTTATAAAGAGAGAGACAGCATATCATCAATTGTACTGGTTTCAGGTTAAATAAATATGATTTTTAAAAATGAAGGTTGTTCTATGTAAAATAATGTTACCTTCTGTCTCTGCATCATGTTAAGCAGGTCTCCGAAGGGTGACTCTTCTGGGTTATCAAAAGCCAGGAGTGCAAGGGTGCGCTCCATCTCTGTCAGACACTCTCGGCTTTCCTCTCCCTGTTCAGCCAGCTGTGTCTGTGCAAACTCCAATGCAGCCTCAGTTTCCCGCAGGCGAATCAACTCAATCAGGTGTTGTTGCTACAAGAAGGAGGCACTTGTTGTAAGTTTGGAATCAGTCCCCTGTGATTTGGCATCAGACAGTCTTTCTAAAAACTACAAATCTACGATTCACTATGAACAGTACAAAACCTTTTGCAAGTGTTATATACATATACCGGTACATTAATATATATGTTAACAGCCAGTTTACAAAATAAAAGTTTAAAAGTGAACAACTTACAGTGGCCCGGCCCAAAAAGTATTTTGGTCTCTTAAGCCACACTTAATGTATGAAAGTTATTGCATAAGATAAACCTTTAAGTTGGTTTGATGTTTTGTTAGGTTCTCAAATAACAGATCTACTCTTCGAAATTGAAATATTATTTTTAGTCAGATTTAGTAGAATCGTCAATTGTATAATTGATCTGCTTTACCTGAAGATGAAAGTACAGGTAGCGGTTAGTGTCCAGCAGCTCAGGATGCAGACTGTTGATCAGTGCAATGGCCTCTTGAATTTGTCCCTTCAAGACCATCTCCCTAATTTTTATCCTTTCATCCAGAGAGTCCAGATCAACACTTGGTTCAATGCCTGATTCCATCCTAAACTTCTCAGCTGCCTCTTTAAAACCCTCTATGTAAATAAAAACAAGCAAATTATGAAAAAGATCCACATACACTTGTATTAAAGCTGCAATATATGGTGAATAAACACAAGTGGTCAGTTGACCGCTTACCTGTCACCAAATAATTCATAATGAGTCGATTCATGTCTGCCCGCTGAATGTGAACATTATTGAGCTTTTCCATCCACTCATCTCGTGTTATGTCGTCTGGCTTTTCAGCATAACTCATCATGAAGTGTTCTGCACAGACAAAAAAATATACAAACATGATGTATAAAAATAATAATAATAAATACATACATACAATTTAAAATTATAGTTTCAGTGAGAAAAGACGCAGCTTGAAAGCTAGATAAACTTTTTATGTATGGGTTGTTATAATCACCCAGTTATAATCTTCATCTAAGTTAAATAAGTGAGTTTAATTAAGGTCATTTAAAATACATATTTGTTAGGTGTAAAGTCTGACATGACACTCTTGATATAAACGCATACTATTATGTTTACTTTATAAAGCTTTTAGTTCGAGAAAGACTAGGGCAATGAAACAATCATCTAAAGAAACGCCAAAGAATCAGCGAATATACAATGATAATATATATATAAATCAATAATGTTATTGAAATCAAGCAAGATGACATTTGCGCTTATGATGACCGGAAGCTCTAATTATAAAGGCCTGTATCATAACATTGAAGCCTGTACCGCTGGAGAGAAGACAACAACAGATTCAATACTTTACGTAACAACAAACACATATGAACGTTAATAAACACAAATATTCTCCAAGCATTTACACGGTACGACTCGTTGCCGACACTTGGAGTAACAAGTCGATTATGCAAAAATGTTGCATTTTACCTGAATGTGTACACTTTCCTCACCAGCAGCTCGGGGAGAAAGGCCGTACTAAATTCTCGCGATGTTAAAGAAAAACGAGATTACAACGATACCTCGTTTGGATTGGCTGTCGATCAAACGTATTTTAAGTCACCTTTATAACTTCAACGTAGCGGACTGCTAACATTTTTATAAATTGATGTATTGTCGAAATAATTAAAATATTGCGTTCGTTGTAACTTTTAATTGTTCATTTTATTTGTTTATTTTTAAATGTTACATCAGCCAGCACTTAGCCGCACTTACCTTGGCGTTTTCTTACAATACACCACTGCCCTAAATAATTTTGACAATGAAAACGCAGCAGCCCTTCACGTTCAGAAAGCATTCGTTTGCTCTGGTCATTTTGTCCGTCTCTCGTTTCCGCCCATTTCCTTTCTAGATCGATCGTGACGTCAGGCACGACTCCCATTGAGCGGAGACGCTTCACACGATCATAAGACCAGGACGCCGTATCTGAGCACCGCAGGTTGATTCACTCCTATTTGAAGGCCGTTTATAGATATAGGATATACTATACGAAGAACTGACGATCTGCACTCCTGCCTACGTTTCTCTGCTAGACGGTAAGAAATGTGAACGCAGCCAGAGGAGAATCCTATCTGTGCGTCTCAATCCTGCTGCTAACGTTACACATACTTGCTCGTGGATTAGTAGGCTACTGCTGTCTGCTGTAGTAGGTTTTTGAGCGAGAAAGATTAATGCAGCCCGGTGAACCAGCATTAAAGGGATAGTTCACCCTTAGTGAAAACTGTGTCATCATTTTGTCACCCTCATGTCGCATGACTTTCTTTCTTCCTGGAAGACCAAATGAGATGGAAGGACTGACATCTTCAATCACCGTTCACTTTAATTGCATTTTATTTTCCATACAATTAAAGTGAATGGTGACTGCGGCTGTCATTCTGCATCTTCTTTTGTTTCGGACGTCTTACGGGTTTATACAAAGTACATTACTTGATATTAGCCTATGTTAAATGTGGGTGAACTATCTCTTTAACAAGCAAACCAATATGGATGCTGAGCGCAGTACAGGGAGATTAAAGGCTCTAAATCTCCAACCGGTCAGTCAACACGCGTTTGGCCTCCATCAGTATTGAAACTCTTCCCATCACGCTGTCAACGTATTTTAGGTTATTTGTTAGATTTGTGCTGCTGCTGAATCTCAAACTATGGTCTTGCTAAAGCTCATTGGGTAAGACACTGCCAGTTGTTACTGGCTTCCCTGTATCTTGACAGAAAGAGAAGTGATAACGTCCTTTGCTCTTTTTTGCTATCAGATCTCTTAGTTGTAGGCTAATTATCATTTATCTACACATAGGTTTCTGTCAGTGGGTCCTCATCATGTTTATTGATGAAACAGCTTGTTCTTGTTGTTATAAACCAAGTTTATGATATAGAAACTAAACCTTCTTTTGTTGCATGTATTTAATTAATCAAATCTCAGGTTTGAATTTGGGTTGTCCATCTATTTTGCTCTAAAATACTGCATAACTCTGAGTGGTCCATCTCATTGTGAGGACCTGCTGAAAGCACCTTTGTGCTTCATTAGCTAATTGACTGGGTGGTTTTAGAAGTTGTTTTCTCGCCATCGCTGTGCCTGGATTCTTGAAGGTTTTTGCTTAGTCAGACTACATGAAGAGTTAGTTAGCCTGCTTTAACCACAATACTATGACGGGGGTGTTAGGAGGTCCTCCTCTTACAGTTATTGAACTGTGGTGTGAGATGGACTTGTTTGTTTTTTAATCCAGCCAGTGTGAACTCATGTTCAGTGGTCTCATCAGGATATGCTTTTTTAACATTACTTCAAAAATAACCACAACAGTATAGTTAAAAAAAAAAATCAGGTATAATAACTTTCAAAAGTTTGAGGTCAGATGATTTTTTCATTTTAAAAGAAGTGTCTTATGTTCACCAAAGCTGCATTTATTTGATAAAAAATGCAGTAGAAACAGTACTAGGCCTATAGCTGTTTTCTATTTTAATATATTTTAAAATCCTGTCTTCAGTGTCACTTGATCCTTCTGAAATCATTCTAATATGATGGTTTCCCAGCATGCCATATCACCCTGTAGCCCAAGACTGGTTGCCCACTAAAGCTAAGCAGGGCTGAGCCTGGTTAGTATCTGGATGGGAGACCTTCTGAGAAAACCAGGTTGCTGCTGGAAGAGGTGTTAGTGAGGCCAGCAGGGGGCGCTCACCCTGTGGTCTTTGTGGGTCCTAACGCCCCAGTATAGTGACGGGGACACTATACTGTCAAAGAGCACCGTCCTTCGGATGAGACGTTAAACCGAGGTCCTGACTCTCTGTGGTCACCAAAAATCCCAGGATGTCTTTCGAAAGAGTAGGGGTGTAACCCCGGCATCCTGGCCAAATTTGCCCAGTGGCTTCTGTCCATCATGGCCTCCTAATCATCCCCATGTATATATATACCAATTGGCTTCATCACTCTGTCTCCTCTCCACCAGTGTGTGGTGAGCGTTCTGGCGCAATATGGCTGCCGTCGCATCATCCAAGTGGATGCTGCACATTGGTGGTGGTTGAGGGGATTCCCCCTTCTATGTGAAGCGCTTTGAGTGTCCAGAAAAGCGCTATATAAATGTGATGAATTATTATTTTTTATTTTTAAACCTATTATATTTTTTCAAGATTCTTTGAAAGTTCAAAAGTGCAGCATTTATTTGAAATGGAAAATATTTGGTATCATTATAAACGTCTTTACTGTCTCTTTTGATCAATTTAATGTGTGAATATTCTCACCCTGAACTCTTGAACTGTAGTTTGGTCTTTCCGTGTCAACTCAGAGGTCCCCGGCTAGAATTTTTTGATTTTGATTATTTCTTTTCATTTCATTGTGAAACTATAAATAAGATAACCCAGGGTCCTATTTACCCAGCCAGAGCCCTTAAATGTTTCAAAGTTTGAGGTATCATCAGTGACTCCACCAAATATACTGTGGATATTACTCGATCTTTGACTATGCTTCACGTGTTATAACAATTAAAAATTGTAATACAATCCAGGTGAAGCAAATCTTGTTTGTGTGAATAATGTTTTGGGAGAGCAAACACACTTTCCTAGGAGGCATGAAACTTGTTTCAAATATGTTGCAATACTGCAAATTTGAACTCTAGCTTCAGAAGCTGTCAAGCTGTTAAAATGAACAAAATTCCTTCTTCCAGATATCTCTGAAACTGTTCATAGAATCTTATGAACAGACTACTGAGAGCCAGTTAATGTGCCACAACTTGATCTTGTCAGTGTATATTTTTGGCACTCAGATGGGTATGTTTTTTGCAATTGTTTTAATAGAGGGTAACAAGCTATTTCTTCAGCATCATTTATTCTTCAGATATTCCCCTTTAAATACATTAAGTATCAGCTCTGCAAATTGACCCACATTTGGTTTTAGACTATTGAAAATGGGTATTCAACAATTTGGACATGGAGCCGCATTGGGATCCCAATATCTATGGGATTGAACCATATAGAGCCTTAAAAATTAACATACCATAAAAAAAGTACTAGAATGTAATGTCATATATGGAGATATCTTTAATACTTCTTTAGTTACTGCCATGCAAACTTGGGGAAAAAGAGTATGTATGGCACTCAGACATGTTCTATGTAGTTGTTTTCAGAGGGAAACAAAAAATAATTGTAACATTATTTTTTGTCAAAACATTACTCTTTAAAAGAAAAAAGTATCAGCTGTATGAAAAGTGATCCACATTTGGTTTTTGACAATGAAAATGTGTACAATTTAACAATGTATTCTTGGAGTCATATTGAGATCCCAATATCTCTGGTGTAAATTGGAATTAAACCATATAGGCTAGTGTCTTCATGAATGAAGAAGATACCAAAAGAAAAATTTAAGAACCAGAATCTTAAAAGATATTAAGATATCTTTAATACTTCTTGAGTTATGGATATGTAACTGGAGAAAAAAATAAAGATTGCGAAAGTCACCAAATCCAACTATAAACGTATCAACATTTGTGTAAAAATAAAATAGTGATGCTGCCATCTTTCTAAAGTCATTTTTACTTCCCTGTTGGCTCCAAATCTCAGGTGAAAATTGTCATTTTGACCCCCCTACAAAATAGAGGATAACTCAATAAATATCCATTCATGAGTCACTCATGACTCATGGCATTTAATATTTTGGCTTTCTTCACTATTTATGTTTGTCTTTCTTCAGAAAATATATGAACAAAAAAAAATTTGAGTTGGGGAAGTTTGGTTGATTTGACATGGAATGACACCAGCTGATCCATAATCACATGGAGAACATCTGTATTTTGCTGTTACCCTCCTTACATTCATGATGGTTCAGAATTTTAGTCAAGGCATTTTGTGTGACTGTTTGGACCGCTCATATTTGATCTGCAACAGAACCTGAAACTGAAAGCAAGAATCAAAAGTTAACGATTGATGAAAACCATACTTCTCACAAGACATCTTGTTATGAGATGGGTGGTAGTTAAATATTAATGGAAACAATGTTTTTAGATATGAGACTCTTTGCGGCCTTTTTACTTTTTTTAAGAGATATGCCTCTCTTTGGGTTCCCCTGATTGAGGAGATCTTTGATGGGGAAACAACCACACATGCTCATACAATTTCCCTCTCAGCCTTATATATGGGGCAGTGCAGTGTCTCACTATAACACACAGCGCACTGATCGTCATGTGTGTTTGCCAGAATGAGGCTAGTTTATTAGACCCTCTTTCTCAATCTGATAATCAAGTTATCACACTGGAATAATACCTAAACATTGATATAACTGCTCTTTAAATTATTGTAAAGTTCACAAATAAATGTAACAATCTGTTGGCTAGGAAATATTAAGAAATAATGCTTTCTGTATGGTCAAGAGAGATTGTTTTAATCCTGGCAAATGGGTTGTTTTTTTACCTGACAATCGTTGGTATAATAAGACACACACACACAACAGTTTCAGATGTGTCTCACTTGATTTAAATGTGCATTGAATAATGCTTCTCACTCTAAAATGATTCAGTTTTGATAAAGATTACACTGGAGTGATATTACAGTCTTACAGATGATGATTATGATCACAGTGAGATTAAAACTCTGATGAGAGTTCATTAGGATTCATAAGGATGCTTGTTCACCTGGAAAATAAAATGTTCCTTTTTCCTTTACAAATTTCTTTCACAAATTTCTTTCATTTGTTAAAGGTGTAGTTCACATTATTAAAATAAACACCCTATTACAAACATAGAATTGAGGGAAAGAGAGAAATGTTGAAAGAAAATGAGAATGCTACGAAATGAGACTGAGATATGAGCAAGAGCTGGCTGACAGATGCTCATCATCATCCCTTGTCTTATGTGTGTGTATGCATATGTGTGTTCCTTCCTGACCTGAAAATTCACACCTCACATGGCACACATATTTAATTTAGGTCACCATAAGCAATCAGGAGGGAACTTTCTCGATCAGCTTCACTTAAAACAGGGATTCCCAAAAAATGTTTGTCTGTCGAAGTCAAACTCATTTGTCTTAAAATATTAATAATTTTTAATAATTTAACAAC